ACCCCTCACCTTCCAACGCTGATGCGGGTGCCCCGATTACCCTGCCAGCTGAGGGTAGAACTTCATTTTCTCAACAGCCTACACCAGGGTTACATCCAGTGTGTGCAGACAGCTCATATACAGGGTGAACAGAATGTACACTTTGTTAATACCATGTGAGGTAAGAAATTAGTAAACACAGTTGCTATTATCCAGAATAGATAGTCACGTGTTTCACTAAATCCTGATGGTATCAATTATCGATATACATACAGATACTCTGGCTAAGGTAGTGTTTTCTTCTTCAGTTATCAAACCTAGTATTCTTCATTTGAAATATAAGCGATGTGAATTGAGTTCAAGCTGCTTCTGGAAATATAAACACAGCCTCAATCAGGACACAACCCTGGGAAATACAAGAATAAACCAAATGGCCCTTCCCTGAGGGGATTCTTCACTTTTCACTCAAGGGCGTACAAACAGGCACCTCCCGGCCCTTCTCCACCCATCTATTTTCCCCAGCTCTTCAGAGAAGCTGAGGGAACTGCCCTCTCCATAAGCAACATGCTACAATCCTCAGCTTTTTCCATAAGCTTAGCAGGCAATCCTTGGCCTACTTCCCCATCACCCCTCTCTGAGGAAGGTCACGCCCTAGCTCCAAGCACCACTCACAGGTCAAAAGGCAAGTTCAACCATAAAGAGCTCCTTCCACTGAGGTTCCAGCGCCAAGAGAGGGGTCAGAGAGCCAGCAGCAAATCCCTACTCCTTGTGCCCCAGGGGATCCGTGACACTTAGCTAGCCAGTATTATTAACTCCCACCCTGCCAGGGGATAGGCTGTTTCTAACCCTTCCCTCTTCCGTACTCCACACCTTTTTCTCTGCCGTCAACTACAAAGAGAAGAGGCATCAGGCCAGACCTGCACACGCCCTTCCTTCCTTCAGATGCTCTGCTCGTTCCCACACAGGGGGCCTTTCGGGCCCGTCGCCCTGTCCTGCGCTTCTGCTCACTCCTCTCACCTCTACCTACTTTCGCAGAGAGATCTTAACCTCGTGACCCTACCGTTTGGGGCCCTGTTCCTGTCATGCTGCCCTCACAGTCAAGGTCAGGATGGCAGGGACAAACCCTGTACCTCCCAGCTCCTTCAGGGCCAGTCCTGAAACCACTGTTAAAATCCAGGCTGTAGGAAGGAATTTAGGAGCCACGGAACTGTCCTGTACCACTATTTTGAGGGTGATTATACACTTCTGTGAATCTGTTAAAAACCCAGAGGTTTTTGCTGCATGTAAGTTTAAAAAAAAAAAAGGCAAAAGGAACAACAGAAGGCCCAAAATGAAAGACTATAACAAAGAACCGTTATAACTTATGAGTAGCAGAACCACGCTCATGAAAGTGGGGAAGAACAAAGTGAAATACCTGGAAAACAGAATTTTGACCATATACTGGAGGTTACAGAGAGGGAACTGTGCACAAATACCGTCCTCCAGTTAGCAGGAAAACTGTCAAAATCTGAATGAAGTCTACAATCTAGTTAATAGTATTATATCAATGATACCTTTTTAGTATTGCTTCGAGTGTTATAATTACTCAAGGGGGTTCGGGAAGAGTGCGTAGAGTAACTAGAAACCATGTTATTTTTGTCACTTTACTATAAGTTAAAATTATTTCCAAATAAAAAGTTAAATGAAGACGCATGCTGTCATGCAGTGTTGGCTACTACGTGAAAGTAAGTAAGGGCCTCAGAGCCAGATTCCCATTCTCTGCTGCCCGGTGCCTTTTCTGTAGCCCATGTCCTTTCAGAATTTCATTTCCCAGCCATGTTTTCCTCTTGTGGCCCCACAGCACTGTCAGGGGCCCACCAGACTCTCCCGACTCCCCGGCTCTTCCCATTTCCCTCATGGGTCCCTGCAGACTCTCACCTATCTCTGCTCAAAGGTAACCTGAGCAACCCCCGTGGTTACAACAATCAAGTATATTCAGAGAACTCACTCATTTCCACATTCAGCCCTCATTCTTCCTTAACCACCACCTTCTCAACTGCTGGTTTTATAGTCCACTCAGCTCTCCTGACCATATGTCAAACTAAACTAAAACCTGTTCCTTCCCAACCTGTTCCTCGTCTAAGTCCTTATATCTGTGTTACATCAATGACATTCGCCTCCAGGAAACCATTAAAAACCCTAGGCAGCATTTTACGTACTATGAGACACAGACACTAGTTCTGTAGGAACCTATTAAGCTTTTCACAAACACAAAACTGAAGTAAGTATCATAAATGCTAGATTTTCCTACAGTGAACAGAGGTCTTTCAGCAGGACAACATTTATTATGCTATTGAATCATGTAAACCTCTGAAGACATTCACAACTGCTCCCAAATTTTAAAAAGATCTAACCACAGGTCTTTTTCTCTGATCCATGAATACAAATGCCAAAGTGATTTCCCAAAAGGCAACAGTAATTTTTGTTGCTGCCATGATGCATTAGAGTTACTTCAAAGTGTATTCTGCCCCCCAACTTTATAAATATTTATTAGCTAATGTCTAAGGCAACAAAAAGATAGCTTATTATATACAAATTTGTTATTATTAGAAAGTTTAAACATTTTCCCGTGTGGTTTGCTTACTACTTGCAAGAAACACTTGTTCAATGACTGATGAATGAATGCAAGGAGGGAGATGATGAATTTCCTATTTGTCTCTTTCTTCAGCTCTATGAAATAACTTACTGACCTCTATTTGTCACTTAACTAATTATAAGCACGAGCATACAAACCCCAGACACACAGTTCCCTAAAATAAATTCATTTCTACAGGCAAACCCTGGAGAAGAGAATGAGCATCTAATGTCCAGGCTACCCAATAGCTCTTCAGTGTTGTTCCCTTCCAGCACCAACATTCCCTGTGCCCCCTGGCTTCTCTGCCCTGGACAATTTCCTACCTAAAGAAATGAGGATAACAGCATACACTCAGCCCTAGGGACATGGGGTAGGAGGACTGATATTGAGATATTTAGAGGGAACACTGTCACAATCAAACATGTCGCACAAAAAGCACAGAGAGAGTAAAATTCAAACAAGGAGTGAACAGAGGTCAGAGAATTTCATGCAACGTTCCTATTCTTTTCAACCCACAACCAGACAGGAGACTACAGCCCCAGTCAGGACATCAACCTGGCTGAGTAGTGGGGACCATGCTGTACAGAACAGTTTGCTCATAACCTTCCTCATCATGGAGTATCAGCGTTTGGGCCACAGTAGAAAAAGCTAAGTGGGCATCATTCTCAGGTGCAGAGGACAGTACTGGGGATGGGAGGCCCAACACAGAACCCATGGGCTGCGGTGTGAGCCGCCGGCGGGATCGGAGTTACAGGCTGAGGCACAAATGACCCACCCGCCAGGTCAGAACTGGGGAGGTGGATGGAAGAGATGCCCAGAGCAGAGGCGCAGTGGCACCATCCTCACCTGAGCTTAGCCTGATCTCTGCAGCCCTCAAACCACAATGAAACTACAAATTTGCACAGACCCAGCACTTCCTAGTGTGCAAAGCTTCCCACGAGCAGCAGCAGCAATCCTGGCAGATCTGCCTGACAGGAGCCCAGCTTCTCTGTGCCCTGCGGCGACAGGGCTCTGTCCTCATACACAGCAGGAGGTGGGGGGGTGAGACCTGAGAGGCGTACCTTCTCCAAAGCCTCAAAGCCCCCGCAAGTACGATCTCCCCCGCCAAGAGCTCCAAGAATTATACAAAACTCTCATTTCTGAGTCTCGGTTAATTTAAAAAAAAAAAGTCAATAAAAAATTAATGCCCTATGGAGTACAAAAAAGAAAATAATGTACACCTTTGTTTCGAGACAAGGAGTAAAGAGGAGCATATTCAGTTCAGCTTACAGTTCACTCATACTTCACAGCAAGGAAGTGGTTCATTCTCATATAGGGTTTTCCATAAATGACAAATACAGAAGAAATCACATCCTGAAGATGTGAATTTTATTTTGCTCTGGTTACCTACACTTCAGTCTCCTTCAGTGAAGGATCTCACTGTCCCTGGATTTCAAATGTGAGTGCACCTTAACCTGGGAACAATAAATGCGAATCTCTAGTGCCCAACTCTGCTTTATTTCATCTATTTATTTTACCTGAATAAAACTGAATGTTCAAAATTTAATTTTAGTAAGTTTCTAACTATCTCCCTAAGGTTCATAAATCTGTAAAACTCTTAGAAACTGTAATGAAAGATACAAATTACAGACCAAAAATATCATCGACCACAATTAAATCTTTAGTCGGATTCCTATGTACTGTTAATACTGGAACTCAGACCACATAAAAAAGCAGCTTAATTCCTCACCATCCAAGGAATAGTAATATTGTATTGATCTAGTCTTCAAAAAATCTGGCAGCTATAAAAACAAAATCTAGACCATCTTGTGGCAAGATTCGATAGAAAAAAGAAGAAAGCAAGTCACTGGGTGAAGGTGGAAGCCAGTACTGGTAGAGATGCTGGCAAAGACCAAAAGTGAGGACACCTGGTACCCCGATCTTGGTTTCCAGCACCATTCTCCGCTAAAGGGAACCAGGGCTCCTTGGAGAAGTGGCTGATTCTAGGATTGGGTGGGAAATGCCAAAATGAGCCTGAAGCACATCCAACCACCGGAATGTAAGAAAGTGCTGCAAAACAAAATGAACTATTATTGACAGGGGTGTGGTCAAAGTGACACAGGGACAACTGAAAGAGTTCCCAATGGCCAAAGCTGGTACAATCAGAGAAATGAATAAAGTTGTACTAGATTATAACCCAAAGTACAAAATAAAAATCTATGAGTTCATATTACATAAATTATTGAGTAAATAAATGGGGAAAAGCAGACTCATCTCCTGTGCAGTAGAAAATTCCAAGTAATTTATGCAGATGTCCCACCCTTATGGAGGTGGTGGGCTGACTCTCACTCCCTAAGTGGCTTTTTTCCAAAGAGGACAGTATAGAAAAGGGAGAGAAAAGAGTAACTCTACAGTAAACAAACAGTACCTGAGACACGTGACCAAGGTCCATACCAACAGTGAAGAACACAGCACATCCCTGTGATGGGATGAAAACATCATATTAAGCCAGAAACTAATTACCACAGCCTAACCATGAGAAAAATATCAGACAAATCCCAGTTGCAGGATATTCTACAAAATACCTGACCACGACTCCTCAAAATTGTCAAGGCCATGAAAAACAAGGAAATCAAGAAACTATCACAGCCAAGAGAAGCCTAAGGAAACATGATTCAATGCAATGTGATATTCTGGATAGGATCCTGGGACAGAAAATGGGCATTAGGTAAAAACTGAGGAAATCTAAATAAAGCATGGACTTAAGCTTTTCTGCTTTTGCTTTTTTTTTTCCTAAGTAAGGGAAAATGAAGAGCTAAGGGATCAGGGAGTATTAAAATGCAGAGAGAGGGGAACTGGGATGAGCAGCAGACGGATTCTTCAAAAGAATGCTGACAACCAACATTATAAACAAGAAATAATTCCTAAAATGTTTGTGTAACAGCTCTGTGTATGTATGTAGAGATTAATTTTCCATTTTATCCTCTTACCAATAAGCTGCCTCAAGGTCAGTCACTGACAAATGGAAATGACTTAGCAACTTTGAAACCAAAGTTTATTAGAAACAGAATTTCTGACAAATGGAAATGACTTAGCAACTTTGAAACCAAAGTTTATTAGAAACAGAATTTCCTAAAGTTCGCGTTTTCCACAACTTCTGCACATGAAATAACCAAGGTGACCTTTTGCTACTACAGCAAACTCCAGTCTGTGGCCAGAGATGATAATTGATTTACTTAGCCTCTCTTTTTACCAATGCAGGCAACATGACAACTGGATCACTGGTAGTTTACTATATAAAACAACCTCTAAAAAAATAGGTCCCTCCTAAATATTTGGTTGTACAGGTCACATGGAAAGAAATGAATTGTTTATCCCTCTAGCCATCATTAAGGCATCTTCTATCAAGGCCAGTCTTTTCTTCCAAGGTAGCAATATACCTAGGGTTTGCTACTCCAAAAACCAAAACAGTACATACATGAGAACTGATTCCTTTTAAATACATTATATGCAGTATAACTTTCCAATCATAGACTAAAATCCACGTATATCACAAAGTGAATGTAATTAATGGCCAGCACACAAGAAAACAGCAAGATACACATTTAATTTCTTTAAATTGGGATAAAATACACACATCACAAAATTTACCATCTTAACTACATACATTTAATTTTTACATGCAGTGTATATAAAATAATAAAAGCAAAAATGCTGCCTACTGTTACTGAGTGAAGACACACAGAGGAATAGAAAAACAATTAGTTGAGCTGTCCCCAAATGTAGGCTGAAAATTTCTTTAAAAAACCTCTGAAGGGCAATTTGTAAAGGCACACATTCTCCAAGGTTTAGACTTCAGACTTCTGATACATGTATATGTTTATTTATTCACTAACCACACACACGTCATACAACAGTCACTCACTGCAGAGACGCTCAAATCTAATTTTTGTCTTTTCCTGAGATATCTGGTTAAAGTACTGGGGAATATTTGTACTCAGATATCCTGAAATCATTTCATTGAATTCCCCATCTAGTCCTCAAACTCTGACTGCCCTCTCTCTATACCATTACCCTCTCAGGCAGTCAAACGCAGATTTGCATCTCGAGCACTCTCACACCGCATCCTGCCCGTTTTCCTTAGCAGTGCAACACCTGTCCTCTTTATAAGCCCCGCGCCCTTCTAGTTTAGGACCATCTCATCTTACATCTAGACAGTCACCAGACCCCACTCTCCGTATTGCCACGCTCTCATTCAGAACTGCCAGATTAGGCTTTCTAAAACCCATTTTGATCAACTTTCACTCCCTTCTAGTAAAAATCCTCAAATCACCTTCCAAATTAAGTCCACACTGCTCGGCCTGACACCAAAGACTCTGCCAACTGGACCGGACGGACCCCTGTGGGCTGCAGTCCTGCAAGTGTTTTTGTAGAAGCCCCCTTCCTCCTTAGGCCATGCTACTTCCTGGCCTAGAATGCCACCCCTCTTCCCCGGCCCCCTCCATTAGCCAAGTATGAAGAATTGATTCCTCAGGTTTTTCTGAAGGAGGAGCCTCATTTAATCCTCATCTTTAAAATGAGAACTAATAATAAGAAGGTTGTTGTATAAATGTGCAAGTAATATACACAGCATGAAACACACGGGTGCCAAAATGCTTTCTTCCTCTCTTTATTTTTTAGAATAATAAAGCGAAATAGAAAAAAAAGGAAAATTGAGTAAGTGCTTTTGAGAGGAGAAAGTGGTTTTGAGGTGACAGCATTTGATTGGAGGAAAAGGAGGAGCAGCAGCATTCATGGTACTTTACAGGGTGACGCCACCGTATTTTATCTCACTTTAAGGTGTGCAGCCTTTTTCCTGATGTGGATGTGCTTCCAGTCCAACTCAAGCTATCAACCATTGGCAGGGTCACCAGGAGTTCAAAAATGGGGAAAAAAGCACAATTTCCTCTTAAAGGGCGGCAAAATTTCAACTCACAAAACAAAATACCTCAATTGTCTCTCTCTGTCTGTCCTATGACATGACTCTTTCTTAATTTCAAAACTGTCTTCCCAACCCAGCATAACCAAGGTCTGGCTGAGATCCCAACCACTCCTTGCCTAACCCAGGCTGAACCCACACCGACCATGTTTACACGCTGGACGGCAGCTGCGCTGAGCACTGCTCACAGGCCAGGCCCCCCCCGAGGGCTGAGCACCAGCACTGGCAGCAGGACATGGCGTGGGCAGACGAAGGCCACACTGGGAGGCCTTGGCATGATGCCCCGGCCAGGGGCCCCCTCCAGAAGAGTGGTACCCACACTCTGAGAGAAGCTAGAGATGACAGGAATGGAGAGGCTGGGCATGGAGAGAAGTCCAAGTAAATGTGGGTTAAGAGGTCCTCCTCATGTTGCAGAAGGATCTACCCACAGCCACCCAGTTCTCTGGAAGTTGAGTGGCTGCCCTTTTTTGGGGGAAAGAAGGCAGGCAGCCTTGGAGATGGGAAACGAGGGGATCACAGCCTGGTAGGATGTAAAATGCAGGGGTGCAGTGCAGAGCCACCACCGAGGATCCTGGAGGTCTGGGAGGGACCAGGGACAGGGCTCCCAGGCAACAGCTCCCTGGCAGGCACTGCCGGTCTATGCGTGTCTTCTCTCCCCACCTGGTACAGTCAGAGCCCAAAGTCCACGTCCTGAAACTGCCCACAGCAGTGCTCGCCCCGGAGTAAGTGTGCTAGAATAAGACCTACAAGTGACAGAAAGCAACATGGACCTTCGTAAGCACACAGCCTCCAGCTCCTCAACATAGAACATGCCTGGGGGCCTGGACTAAAAGGCTGACCTTCCGGCTCCTGAATCAACAGCCCTGTGCAGCCTGCAGACACTGAAAGCTGCTGGAAGCCCAGAGGACAGGCAGGCCACTGACCTCGGCCTGGCGATCCCCAGCTCCAAGAGATGAGACGTTCAGGGCAAGCAAAGGCATTAGACAAAGGAATAAAAAAGTGGAGGAAAAAGAATATGCAGGAAAATTCCCATGTCTGTCAGAGAGCTCATTAGACAATCCTCAAAATGCATGAGTAGAGAAACCAGGCAGACTATTTTTTGTTATTATAATATTTTGTACATGGGAAGAACTCCCCATGAAAGAATGCTGACTGAATTCGTGAGTTCCTTTACCTTCCCTCCTGAAGTCCTACAACATAACATCAATTGAAAGTATTTCTAAAAAGATAAAAAGAGACTTATAGAGACAGAAATACATTCGTGGTAGTGTAGGGTTGGGGTTTGGGAGAACTGGGGAATGACAGCTAAAAGGCACAGGGTTTCTTTTTGAGGGGATGGAAAGGTCCTACAATGGTCTATGGAGGTAACCACACAACTGTGACTAGACTGAAAAACTGTTCACCCTAACTTTAACTCTTCACTGTGGGTGAGCTGTACAGTATGCACATTAAATAAAGCTGTGACCAAAAAAATATGTATGCCCACAAGGAGAAGGCAACGAGAATGGAGTCAATGCCAACAGAAGATACCAATAGTTTTAGAAATAGGAGAGTATGGTGGAGTGACAGCTGGCCCAAGCTGATACACCCCCAGGTCTTGCAGAAGGCTGCTGAGGGGATGGAGGACGTGAGCCCTGCAGAACTATAGAGCAGCTTGGGCCCCAGAGTCAGCAGAGGAGATGCCCAGGAAGGAAGGAGTGAGTGAGTGGGGTGGGCTGAACACAGGATGGAGGTCAGCACACAGAGCCCTTGTCTGATACCCTGACCGGCTGCCGGCCAGTGAAGGGTAGGAAGAAAGCTCCCCGGGGTATCCAAGCACTGAGGCCGGGAGTCAGAGCCCCCACACAAGGCACGACACGGAAAGCTTTCTGCTTCCTCCTCCCCTAAGGCCAAAAGCCAAGCTTATTCCCCAGGCAGGACAGCGGGTGAGTCTCCTGAGAAACAAGAGCTCAAGGGAAAAGATTCCAGACGCTGGCTTGCGGGATCCTTCAGTGAAGAGTCCAGCTCAACAAATCAGCCAGAGAGGCGCCCCCAAAGGACAGGGCTCACCTGTGCAGGCAGAGCTTCCCATCAGCTTCTCATAGCTCCTGGCCTGTGGGAAAGCCTCCCAAACGAAAGAGACCAAAATAAAAGAATAAAAACAAAGAAAGGCAGAAATGCCGCAGAGTGGGAGGATATATATACACAAACAGTATCCTCAGAGGGAAAAAGCACAGGAAGTTATGGAGAAGAAGCCCCTAAAGAATAGAGGGAACTTTAAAAAAGTAAATTATTCATTACTGAACTGAAAGACAAAATAGGAGAAAAAACGTCAAGGAAATCGGGTTATCTCCAAGGAAGTAGAACTAGAAAAGAGATCTGGACTTAAAAGTTCAATCCAGTTTTTCCAACATCTGACTAATAAAAACGATTCAGGAAGAAAAGACACAAAAGAGGATATTAACAAAGAAAAAATACAGGAATATCTCCCAAGATTAAAGGGGCCAAGTCTGAGGTTGAAA